ATAAATCTGTGTCCAATAATTTTGTGTCCAATAATTTGGTGTCGAATCGATCGGTGTCGAATCGTACTGTGGTCAAACGGAACACGCCCGATAACGCGCGGTCGGGAGAAGGCGTTCATTCTCACGTAATTTGTACTATTTCCGTTAGTGGTACGTTAGTTGTAATAATAATCATTGTTGCATTAGTTGTTGCGGTTAAGTGTATAAAAAAGAAAGCTGGTGTTAAAACGCTTCCTAGTACTACAAATGTAGATCGAACAATATATGTGTTTGATTTGTTCTCCGTGAGATTGTTGAAAAATAAATATGTAGAAGGGCCGATACAGAGAAAAATACTGGTTGTTAATGTATGAACCGGAATCTTTATTTTAAAATGCCAAACGTTTTGACTCTTGGTTTGAGTCATCTTCAGTGGCATACAAAAATCATAAAGAAAAAGATAAGCTGTACATCACGTTGTAATAAGAAAGAGACTTTAAATAAATAGTTGATATTTATCACAATGTTTCGAAAACCAAAAATGTACTCTTTCCATGTCTCTGGTTAGTTAGTACACACGAAACATAAACTACACAACTGATGTGATCGAGATGTAGATCGAGTACGCACGGTGTTAGGACAACCTTAGTTTTAATAGTAGTTGTACGGTTAGTATACTAGTGAAGAAAACTTGCGTACAAGTTTTCTTTTCTCAACGGGGGAGGAATGTTGGGAAATCAAGTATACTGAGGTAATAGTCGTGTTAGAAAATTTGTGAAGAAAGATGTAATTAGTATAAGGTCGCGTACGTAGAAATTAGGAAATTAAAGCATAAGATAGTCACGTATGTTTGATTGAGACACAGTTAAGTGTATTGTAAAAAGAGAGTGTTGCTTGATCAGCAAGGACGGCAGATCCGTCTTCGAGAGCTGATCAAGCAAGGATGAGCGAGTTGCGCGATCAACTCGTGCAACGTTGTTTAGGATAAGACAAGGTGTTGCTCTCAATTCGGTGATATAAAAAAGTGATGTGACAGAATTGAGAGCAGAAGTTCGAGAGCTATCGCCGAGTCGGCGTACTTGTATTAAGAAGCTAAAATGTCAAATAAAGTTTATTAAACTGTTGAGCAAGGCGGAGTTACTTTTCCCCGAATCCAAACGGAAAGATCCTGTGAAAAGAATCCAGTACCGTCGTAGCGGTACAACACCGTAGTTTCTACTACTATCAATCATTGAAAGGTTTAGGTGATTAACAAAAAGTAAAACAGCATGGAATAAAATTGAAACAAGCATGCGTTTCATTATCCTCCCAAATGGGTTCCCACCTTGTAGTAGCTCCGAGGCGGGAGCTCGGGGCTCTCGGAGCGCTCGGTGCGCACGTGGTCTGGCCGCCTCGCAGTAACTACACGGAACGTTAATTTGTTCCCAGCATGTGCTGGTGGCGGCGTGGCCGGGCATTGATCGTCAGCTCCTCTCTGGACGCTGGCGGATCTGCCTGGTCGTGTCGTCACAATGGAAGTGTAATCTGACGGGACAACAATTGACCACAGAAAGTGAGCATCTGGTGTCCTCGGGGGCTGTGAGTTCTCGCGCCGGAGCGGGTGGTGGGGCTTAAGGTCGCGGGCGGTGGTCATCCGCTCAGGGATGGGCCCGTCTGTGGCCAACTAAGAGGAACCTTCCAAGTTAATGTGTGAGCGATCGTGCCGAGAGCTGCGTGGCGCACGGGGAGTTGCGTCGTAAACGGTGCCTCTTGAATACCGGGCGAAATCCAGGAATACGGAGCCAAACCCCAGCCATTCGTGGCTATGGCTGGGTGAGACCGCGTGACCGCGATACTCGTGGGAACAAAAATGAGTAAAACTAAAAATAATATCACTCCCAAATCAGTCCCCAAGAGCGAAGCCTCCTCTGGAGGCAAACGCCCATGGGAATCTTGCAGTGGGGGAGTGGGCTCAGAAGCCCCAAAATACCGCATAAGATATAGCGGGGCTGCTAGCCGCCGTTATAATAAAGAGATGCTAGCCGGGGAGAGTAGGGCCAATAAGGCTCCCTCTACTCCCGCAGCCTCTTGTTTAAAAGATGAAGATGGGGGTGGGGGTGCTTCGGGTGGCGCGGTAAAGCGCGCCAGGCCGGAGCACACTACTCCCAGCCCCTCAGAAAATTGCCAGGGCAAGATACTCAAAAATGAAGGGTCGTATGCACAGGCGACAAAAGGTCTTGTCAGGGTAGCCCTCAATACGAGGGTAGCCCTCAATACGAGGGCTACCCTCGTATTGAGGGCTACCCTGACAAGAAAATGGGAGCCAGTGAGGTGGTTGAGATCAGAAAAATGGTCAGGTCTGTCATCCTCGGCATGTCTGAGAATGACAAAGCCCCCACTTTCACTGGTTCCTGGGAGAGGGATGGCGCACTCATGGTTGCGTGCGCTAACATAGAGTCGGCGGAGTGGCTTAAGGCCCATTCCTCCGATTTAAAAGTCAGGGGAACTCCTTCGTGTGTGCTGCCGGTTGATGCGCTACCTAAGCGTCATCGAGTGGTGGTACATGTGGAGGAGCCTGAGGTAGAGGTTGAGGATGCTTTAAAGCTCTATAACCAGCAAAACACAGGGCTGGCAACCAGCAATTGGGTCGTCACCAGGAGGACGTATAGGAGAGATGCTACGAGCGCCCACTATTTCTGTTTGGTTGGAGACTCGGCGATGGAAGCCTTGAAGCACTGTGGCTTCAGGCCTTTCTTCGGTCTCGGCCGGGCCACCGTTAGCGGCCGAGAGCGCGGGAAGGCGTTGGAGATGGAGATGGAGTCGGAGGGTGTCGGGACTGCCTAAAAATGCCTTCACTCGGCATCCAAATGATCCAGATTAACTTGCATCACAGCAAGAGCGCCTCGGCTATCCTAGCCAGGAGTATGGCTGTGATGCATACAAGTATTGCACTAATCCAAGAACCATGGATTGTGAAAGGTGCAGTAAAAGGACTGAGTGGTTGCAGCTGCTTATACAAAGCACACTCAGATAATAGAGTAAGATCATGCATTTTAGTAAAAGGACTAAATGCTATCTTTCTGCCACAGCTCAGCAGCGAGGACCTCACAGTCATCAACGTGAGAGTAAAGCTAGCCGAGGAAAAAAACATGGAAGTATTAATATGGTCAGTTTATATGTCCTATGACTCCACGGATCCACCACTACATGAAGAGGTAAAAAACCTCGTGGCCTATGCGGAAGCCAGGGAGTTTGAACTCCTGCTGGTTTGCGATGGGAACTCCCACCATGTAGGATGGGGAGGCACAGACACCAACCTGCGGGGGGAGAGTCTCCACAACTACCTAATGGGCACAGGATTAACTATTCTCAATAGAGGAAACGAGCCCACATTCCTGGACTCCAGAAGACAGGAAGTCATCGATATAACAATTTGTGCGGAGAGGGTGGCGGGTCTGGTGAACGACTGGAGGGTCTCGGATGAGCCCTCTGGCTCTGATCACAGACAAATACGCCTAACTCTTCAACAAATACAGCAAATCAGCTGGGTTTGCAACCCACAAAAAACCAACTGGGAGGGCTTTAGGGCTGACCTTAAGGCCCAGCTTGCTATGGCTTCAACCAGTTTCGGAACCAAAAACAACTTGGAAAACGTGGCGGACTTTCTAAAAAACGCCATTATAAACGCTTTTAAATTAAACTGCTCACCTAAACCCAGGAATCCGGTGAACAAGATCCACTGGTGGAATAAAGAGCTCGGTAAGCTCAGATTGGAAACGAGAAAGAAATTCAGCAAAGCGACAAGAACAGGACTTGCAGTACACTGGGAGGTCTTTAGAAGCTCCCAACGAGAGTACAGCAAAGAGATTAAGAAATCAAAATGCAAAAGCTGGAGATGTTTCTGTGAAAGCATTGAGAGCGCCCCGGAGGCATCCAGGCTTTACAGAATTTTCAGTTTGGATCATCGTCCCCAATTAGGCTGTCTCAAGCTCCCAACGGGGAATATCACTGAGGAGGCAACGGACACATTGAAACATCTAATGGAAGTCCACTTCCCAGGTTTTGATCATAACATACAACCCTGCCGACCNAAGCCTAGGGAATATAAACTCAGGGACTGGCGTCTGGAAGCTGAGGTTGTTTTTCCAAAGGGAGTTGAATGGGCTGTTAAAACCTTCTCTCCCTATAAATCACCTGGACCGGATGGAATTTACCCGGTTCTTCTCCAAAAGGGGCTGGCGGTTCTTATAGGTCCATTAACAAAAATCTTCCGGGCTAGTATAGCCCTAAAACACGTCCCCCAGGCTTGGGGTGGTATAAGAGTAATCTTTATACCCAAACCTGGTAGAAATGGCCATATAGCAGCCAAAGACTTCAGACCGATCAATCTCACTTCCTTTGTACTGAAAACACTGGAGAGACTGGTTAATAGATATCTGAAAATTGGCCCTTTGCTAGTACATCTGCTGTCTCCGGCTCAGTATGCCTACAGGGAGGGCAGATCAACAGATACTGCCTTGCACCATCTCGTGGGCGGAGTCGAAGTGTAGTTGGAAGCAAAAGGATATGCCCTGGGCGTCTTTCTGGACATTGAGGGAGCTTTCGATAGCACTTCATATGATGTCATTAGAGAAGCAATGACCGGGCATCACATTCCCGCTGCTCTAACATACTGGACACAAAGCATGCTAACAGGAAGAACCCTGATTGCCAATCATGGGGACTCAAGTGTGCATGATTTCCCCGCTAAAGGATGCCCGCAGGGAGAAGTTTTATCTCCCCTGCTCTGGTGTCTGGTTGCGGATGAACTTCTACGAGAATTACAAAAGAAAGACTTTTTCGTCTTTGGCTACGCTGATGACGTGGCTATTATAGTGCGAAGTAGTTTTCTTTCAACACTTAAGGAGACTATGCAGATAGCCTTAAGATCACGCAAGACTGGTGTCAATCAAAAGGACTTAGGGCTAATCCACTAAAGACCAAGGCCATGATTTTCACCAGGAAATACAAACCTGAAGCCATTGAACCGCTTAGACTCTGGCGAGAAAATATAGAATACGTCCAGTCAGTAAAATATTTGGGAGTCCACTTAGACACCAAACTGAATTGGAAAACACATCTCGATATAAAGAGATTCAAATTCTACGCCTCATACTGGGCGTGTAGAAGAGCAATGGGAAAATCCTGGGGTATTAAACTAAATACTGCCCTATGGATATACAAAGCGGTACCAAGGCTAACATATGCTGCTGTTGTTTGGTGGCCCAGAGTGAAAAAGATGGAATCAAAGAACCTACTAAAAAGCCTACAAGGTATATACTTGAGGGCTGCGGTAAGGACTATGAGAACGACACCAACAGAAGCGCTGGAAGTGGCACTCTGCATTCCACCTCTAAGATTGACTGTCATCAGCGCTGCCAAACTCACAGCATATAGAACAAGGTGTCAGGGGGAGTGGAGAGATTTCGGAGTAGGTCATACCAGGCTCGAGTTTTTTCACAAATCTCCCTTTACTTTAAAGCAAGATAGAATATCCAGAATACGCCATGTGAACAAGGCGTTCTCCATAAACTTGACCACCAGGGCGGACTGGAAAAACAAAAATCTTCAGATCCAGCCGGGCACTTATACGTGGTTTACTGATGGATCTGGAGCAAACGGCTGCTATGGAGCAGGCATCTACTGTCCAGGATCAAATCACAGAGAGTTTTTCTCTCTGGGTAAATTGGCCACGGTCTTTCAAGCGGAAGTCCTGGCCATTCTGGAATGTGCAAGACTCCTACTCTCAAGAGAGACGAAAACTAGGAAGATCAATATCTATACGGATAGCAAAAGCAGCCATAGGAGCTCTTGTCAAGAACACCACTGAATCTTTAGTGGTTTAGGACTGTATGCAAGCTCTAAACAGATTGGGCGAGCGAAACAACATCACGCTTGTCTGGGTACCTGACCACCAAGATATCCAAGGAAATGAAGTGGCTGATAGTCTGGCAAAACTGGATACCTTAAAGGAACTAGTCTGCCAGATAGTTGGAGTTCCCTTTGCAACAGGGAAAAACCATATCAAGGACTGACTGAAAAGGGAGCACAGAATCTCTTGGGAGATACTGAAGAGCTGCCGCCAAGCTAAGGTTTTGATGACTCAACCATTGCCAGGTAGGACCAAAGAACTACTGACAATGAGTAAGTACAGGCAGAGACTGTGTATCGGTCTCCTCACAGGGCATTGGGCCTTGAAGGCACATTTATTCAACTTAGGCCTAGTTGAGGAGAGTAATTGTAGATTTTGTGGCGAAGAGAGGGAGGACAGCGTGCACATATTGTGTCGCTGCCCGTCTCTAGCACTCAAGAGATTCAGATTTTTGGGCTCCATGTTTGTGGAGCCCGAGGACCTGAAAATAATTAAAATCGGCCATCTGTGTAGCCTGGCAGCAAATGCCGGGTTTTAGCAGCTTGGTCGATTAACAACTAGCGGGAGTCGCAGAGGATCTTAGAGATCTAGGTGACAATAGGGTCTCACAAGCCCCCCGCTCTTCGTCATCTAATCTAATCTAATGCGTCTCATTATATAGACTTTTAGTTTTTCTCTTATTGTTAGTAAAAGAGGATACAAAAGTTTTTCTAATTAAGAAGGTAGAGTTTACCTGTATCACACAATCGCACTTCTTGCAATGCATTTGGGCGCAGCTCCTTCATTTTTTGCCAAATTGTGACATACACATCTATTGTACGTTTTTTGCACAACGCAAACAGAACAGCTATACCCTAAAATAAAAATAGATAAATCTCAATCTCTCTCGTCAAATTAAATCTTTGACAAAAGTGAGATGTTTGGAAACTCACATTTACTTCAATTTTTTTCGCATTTTGGCATCTTTTTCTTGTTGTTGTATTTTTTTTGTTGAATAAAATATCAAATCTTATGTATGTTAAAATAAAATGTCAGATATTGCTCACCGAAAATGTACCATCCATATAAACTTCTGTAGCTGTTTCCAAAACATCTAGTAGAGCGTTACTTGTAAATATAACTGCTGTATAATCTTTATCTGATTATACTGTGCCCTTAAAAATATGTTGAACTGAGTGATAACTCATCAATGCTGCATCAAGTCCGGAAATGTTTTGTGGTGTTTCCGGCCTTTGACGCAATTGTTCCTTATAGAAAAGGTTTCTCATAGCGGAATAAGATATCTTTGTAGCCGCTGTTGGATTTCTGAAAAATAAAAGCAAACTTTAGTCAAATTATATACACAAGTGCCAAAAGCTTAAATATATAATATATTGCAAGATGTTAATAAGAAAATGGTTCTAATTTATTTTTTATAAATAAATACTATTTTAAAAAGTATTTATTGCATTCTTTATTTTTCTATTTTTTCTTAGATTATTTTATATGCAAATAAGAGTTAAATGTATACTAGAGAATATTTGCCAATTTCCTTCAAATATCTTTAAAAAATTGGAAAACTAAATAATGCTTTTGGAAAGTAGTAAACTTATTGCAATGGTTAGTTTTCATTGTTCTTTTCACTGTATATGTTTAATGCATAACTTGTTTCAAGTTTGATGATTATGATTGTTTGTAATACGTTTTGCATTTCTCCAAACGTTAAACAATTTTGTAATTTACCAAGATACTAGAATTAGAGTTTTTTATCCATAAATTTTATGTAATATGAAATATTTGTATTCAAATATAACGTGCTTTTTTGTTACCATTTTGGCAAAGATACAATATTGAAAAAATATTAAAATATTAAAATATTAAAAAGCAATCTTTTAATTATAACTTTTGCCATAAAATCTTTAAGACAAAAAATTCTTGGTTTCATCTCGTTAGTATACTATGGTATATTCATATTTAAAAATCTTCTTTACACAAAATAAAAAACAGTATATAATGTCTCTTTGTGATTTTACAGAGCAAAATGATAAGAAAGAAGAACTGTGTATTTTATTTGTAGGTTACGCAGTGCGCAACATATTCGGTTTTTAATACATACAGAGGAGTGCGCCATATCGTGTCGCGTCAAGGGAAGTATTTCTCGAAAATTTCTCTTCCAACTGTACTACCGCGCGCCGTTCTCTTTCGATTTCGGGTCGCTGGCGCGGTAGTAGAGATAGCCGAAGAAGAAATTTTTAAGAAATACTTCCCCTGACGCGGCACGATATGATGCACTCCTCTGTACACTAGAATATGACGTATCCGATGTATATATCTTCAATCAATATTTACTAATATCATTATTTTTTTTCGCCGCCGCAAAAATAAATGGAACAAAGCTATAACAACAATTCAAAAGATAACAATTGCGCGAACTGTTTTTATATAATGTTTGTGCATTTGAATTATTTTATACTCTATGATTTGTGCACGTTGATTTACCTTCGGCATATCGTATCAAATATTTTTTTGGTTTTATCAATGTTTCTCGACACATTCGCAGCATCTCCTGTCTCATTTCAAGTTGCTGCAATATTGTGTCATTTGCCGGATGAGTGTGTGGTACTTTCAAGATATACGTCTCATCTGGATTTTGCACCAATATCGCGTAATATTCCAAACTTCGCCGCAACGAGCACCGATAAGTTTTTATGCATTGCTTGTCCATATTGTTACGCGGCGGATACCGCGTGTGTGCCGCAGGAGCTGTGTGAACGGCACGCGCTCGGCGCGACTGTCGGTTGCCGGGCGACGACGGTTGTTGTTAAAGAAGAAGGATCGCGGTCGCGAATTCTGTCACGTTGTATTCATGAATCCGGTTGGATTCTTTGTGATAATCGTTGTATCTTGAGCCATAATAAAGTGTTAATTAAAAAGCCGCGTTCTCTCATTTCCGCGGACGGTTACGCGAATCGCGCGGCTCGGTTACGGAGATTGAAAGTTCGAGCTTGAGAAAGCGACGGAATGGCTCTTGTTCACTCGCCGCGGAGAACGCGTAACCAGGCTGCGACTGGAGCGGCCGAGGCGCCGGCGGCATCAGCGGCGGCGACGACGGCGGCGGAAGGAAAGACTTTGCGTGCGGTCTTGGAGGAGCTGGAGCGACTCCGGGAGGAGCGGCGACGGGAGAAGGAGGAGATGCGTCGTCTGGAGGCACGCGTTCGGCAGGAAACATCAGGCGAGTCGTCTTCCAGTTTGTTGTCCGGTCGGGCGGGCGAGGTAGCTAGAATTAAAAGTAAGCCCGACGTGTTCGATGGGAGCGGTTCGTGGCGTGAATATTTTGTTCAAGTTGAGTTGGTTGTGCGCGCGAACGGATGGGACGGAGAGACAAAGGCGTTAATGTTAGCGACAAGTCTGCGGGGAAAGGCGCGCTCTGTGCTGGAGGGATTGGATGGGGAGTTTTTGTACGGCGAGGTGCGTTCCCGGTGGGAGCACGCGTCGGAGTCTCGTGTAGACTAATGGGGGGTGTATTTGTTTTATTTGTTTTAAAAATGTTACGGATATTTGTTTTTGTTGTTGTGGTAATTGAGCTTGGTTACTCGTTGCTAGGCTTTGACGACCGGAAAATTCCCAGCTGAGTAGTTCCAATGTTTTCGGGGCGCGCGACGAGACCGTGAGGATTCGCGTCGTAAGAGAGGTCGGACCTCCCGGGGCAACCCCGGTTCCACGAATGCAGCCTTGGTTGAGTGGAGAAGTAGAGAGAATCCCGGGGCTCAATGTAAGAAGGGATTGTTTCTCGTTGCTGATCCCTCTTTGGACCGCGCGGCTGGGCGGGTTGTTTCTTTTAGGAAGGTTCCGCTTGGGTTTGACTTTGGTTGGTCGTACTAATTTCGGTGTCCTTTTATTTTGCGCGAGGTTTCTAGGTTTTCGCCGGTTGGTATTTGGTTTCTAATGTTTAGCGGTTGTTATAATTTCTTCAGGTGGCATGGTGCTAGCGGTGAAGCGTTTTAGGTTCTTTTACAAGGGAGTCCTTACCATTTTGAGGTGGACGGAACTGTTGTATTTGCGTAGAGTTTGGCGTCTATGGGGTAAGGGAGTGTTGTGCAACGCCGCGGCTGCGGGGTTCTAGGAGAGGGATATTTATGAGGATTATTTAGATAGTGGGGTTCTCTCTACATCCTTCCGCGTCATAGACCTGTTATTATTTTTGTTTGGTAATTTTATTATTTTGTTAATGTTTGCTTTTGAAAGCATGCTGTTGGTGTTTCTTTTATTTCCGTTTAGTTATGTCGGTGCCCGGTTCGGCGGTCGTCGTGTCGTCGTCGTCGTCGTGGGACGCTTCTTCGAGGGACGTCGTTATCGCGGGACGGTCTTAGCGTCGTCGTAGTCTTTGCGGGGCACTTCTTCGTAGGAGTTGTCGTCGTCGCGGAGCGGTCGTCGCGTGGTCGTGGTCTGCGTGGGACGCTTCTTTGTAGAAGTTGTCGTTATTAACTTGTACTGTTAGGGAAGACTGTCTTGCTCACGGTTTTCAATGCGTGGTTTCCCGTGGGCCGTTGGGCAGATGCCGAGGCGGGGACTTGAGGTGCCCGTTTTAAGGCAATGGGTTCACGCACGTCTTCCCCCCCCCATCTCTGTCCGAAGACCGAGGTGTTTAGCGGAGAACTGTTGAAGCCCCGGAAATAGAAGTTATTCGAGAAGAACTTCTTCGGCCAGTTCGCTCGAGATCCTGGAGCAGCAACTCAGGAGTGAGCAGGAAGACTAGAGTCCTCCTTTGATTGTCGGGAGGACTATCTGAAGAGGAGGGGGGCAGTGTTATGCGGCGGACACCGCGTGTGTGCCGCGGGAGTTGTGTAAACGGCACGCGCTTGGCGCGACTGTCGGTTGCCGGACGACGACGGTTGTTGTTAAAGAAGAAGGATCGCGGTCGCGAATTTTGTCACGTCGTATTCATGAATCCGGTTGGATTCTTTGTGATAATCGTTGTA